CCAGCTGGGATCCCATCCTGTTCCATCCCAGGGAACAGGGAACGTGCTGTGCCTGAGCCCGTGGTACAATCATTCCCAATTCCCACTGTTCCCAGTGCCTTAAATCCACCCCAATCCCACCAATGGATTCTGCACCTCACAGCTCCTCATCCAGTTAGTGCATCCCAGTATCCCAGTTAATCTATCCCCATATCCCAATTAACCCATCCCAGTTTCCCAGTCCATCCCAGTTTCCCAGAGCTCCAGCTGCACTCCCAGCTCCAGGCAGAGCCTGCTGGGATTTGGTCCCCAGGGCCCCCAGGGCCCCTTTGCTGGGATTGCCTGGATTGGGATGTGAGGATGGGAATGGGGCCCTGTCAGAATCCCACAGATCAGAAGGAAAATCTCCTTTGGGATTGCTCAGCTCCTGGGGTTCCCTCTGGGGCCGTGGGGCAGGAATGGGAATTCTATGTCCATTTCCTGGCTGCTCCAAAGGGATCCCAGGCTTCAGCCTCCGAGTGGGACAGAAACTGGGAGCGCCAGGAGAAAGGATTATTCCTGATTTTCTGACAGAATGGAATTCAGGTTTAGTCCCAGATACTTGATTTTTAGTGGAACTGAAATGAAAACTCCCCAGGCCTGTAAATATTCCCCCCCTTGGAATATAAACATTGCCCTGCTGGATCTGGGGTTTGTGGAATGGGAAGGGATTTCCTGCCGGGCAGTTCCAGAGGAATCCCTGATGAGCTTTTCCCTCTTCGAATTGTCCATCCTAGAGGGGAACACCGGGAATGCTCAGAGGGAGGGGCTGGGATTAGGAATTCCCTGGGTTGGGATTTCCCTGGTTGGGATCCCAGGAGGCGCCAGGGGGCCGGAGCAGTGGATTTATGGATTTATGGCAAATTTAGGGACAGGACCTGACCCCCCATTCCCCCGTTCGCGAGGGAGCCAGAACCTTTCCCGTGGGTTTGGCTGAGGCCGTGACTCGAGGGTTGGACCCTGAGATGGACGAGGAGAGACCTTGGGATGAAAATCCTTGGGATTTCGGGGAAGGAGTTGGGTGGGTCCTGCTCCAGCCTTGGGGACAGGCAGGAGTGTTCCAGAGGGGATGGATCCATGGAATGGGGGCAGAGGGACACTGGGACAGGCAGGAGCTGCTCCAAGTCTGTCCCGGGCTCCTCCTTCCCTCCCCACGCTCCCATTCCCAGCGTTTGCTGTAAATAGGGAATATTTATAAAAATTTATTATAGAGATTTCTAAACTGGCCCGAATCCCGTTTTTCCCAGAGCATTTGGCTTTGCTGGGATCTCCTGGAGCGGATTTGCACCTTCCCAATGAGCGTTGGTACAAATCAATCTAATCCCAGTCCCAGGTGCTGGGAATTCCAGGGGTCCCAGGGCTGAGAATGGAGCGGCTCCTTCCCTTCATTTCATCCCTGTTCCATTTTCTCCGGGCGGGAGAGGCTGTTCCAGGCTGGAGCCGTGCCAGGGTGTCGCTGGCGCTTTCCCAGGTCCTGGATTTTCCCTTCTCCTTCTTTCTGTCTTTGCCTTCCATGTCCGACCCGGCTGCAGCGGCAGTTGAGGGGAATCTGGGTGGAAATGTGGAGATTTCCAGGCATTCTCCTTGATGTGACATTTTCCAAACCTTTCCTTTATCCCGTCCGAGTCCCGGGATCCGCGGGGTGATCCCTGCTGGCCCATCCCGATCCCCAGGAGTTCCTGCTGCTTTTCCTGCAGGCTCAAATTCCCTCCTTGGCTCCGCTTTCCCGCCCGGCTCCTCCGTCCATCCGCACTCGGGATATTCCATGTTTGCTGTTGAGCTGGAGCCTCTGGAGCCTCTGGAGCCTCTGGAGCCTCTGGAGCCTCTGGAGCCGCTTTCCCAGGGTTTTCCCAGGGCTTTTCCATCCCTTGCAGGGGCTCGGGGGAGCACTCGGCTCCGTGACTGTTAGCACAAACCATGGATGGATTCATCCCCCAGGAGACCCCGGTGCCGCCTCCCAGAGCCCCAGACTGATCTAAAAATGACCCAGGCAAGGCTGTTGGTTGGGAATAATCCCGGATCTCTGGGACACAGCGGGGCCATCCCAGGGGGCTCCGTGCCCATCCCAGGAGCTCCGTGCCTGCTCCAGGGGCTCCGTGCCTGCTCCGGGCCTTGGCTCATTTTGGGAGAAGCTCCTGGGAGCGGCCCCTCTGCCATCCCCGTCCCGGCTGAGCTGATTCCAGGCTGTGGGACGGGAGCTGGAGCCGTCCCTGAGCACAGGAGATCCCAGAACTCCAAGAGCCCGAGGGGAGGAGGCGCTGCCGCCGTGGGTGGGGATTCATGGATTTGGGAATGTTGCAGGGGGGTCCCCAGCCCGAGCCCCGCTCCTCCCGAATCCTGCCCTGGTGTCCCGAGCTGAGTCTCCCTGGAAATCTGCGCTGGCAGCGGGGCCATCGCGGCAGTTCCCGAGGGAATTCCCGAGGGATGGGGAGCAGCCAGCGGGGGGGACTCGATGCCTTTCTCCACAACCACCGGCCCCGCAAAGCAATAAAACCACGGAGGGGCCGCGGGGAGATCCCGGGATCCGCTCCCGGCCCGGGCGGGGCACGAGGGCGGTGCCGGGGGAGCCTTGTCACGATGCCAACTGCCCTTAAACTGGGATCCGGGTCTTTGTAAGCAATGTCTGTGTATTATGTGTAAATATGAGGGACAAATTTGAAATTACTGCCTTTTCCCTGTTTATTTTTCTGAGTAATTCCAGATGTACTTTAGTCTCTCTACTGTCAAAACTTTTATATTGTAAATCTGATGCTGGTGGCTTTTTTTGGTTATTTTGGTTTTCG